AAACTCCAGCTCCTAAAATGCTCCCACTGTACCTAGACAGGCGGCAAGCTTCCCGTGCCCCTCCTCCAGCCCGCTGCGGAGACAGAGGTGATGCTGGCACAGTGAGACCTGTGCAAGCCCCAGGATACCCGGGAAGAGGAACGGGGCCCAGTGCAGAGGGGCTGCTGTCACTTCCTCCCGCTGGTGGGCCGTCTGCTGGAATACAGCGCAACTCCACGGGAACTCCACGTGTTTGCCGTATCAGGCCAGGCCTTCCTTGGCTCACGTGGGGCCTCATCGTGTCCCAGCGTTTTCTCCCTCGGGAGCTGTGGCAGCTCAGACGTGGGCCTCTTGCCTCTGGGTTTCTCAGAAACTCAGGGCTCCTCCCACTGGCAGCAGCAGCCGGCTCACTCTCTGTGGGCAAAATGGAGGCTTGGAGCCCCTGGGAACCGTGCGGCCAACAGGACCTTGGCGCATGCACCGCCAGACGACACTCTGTCTGCCCCACTTTGGCACAAGTCATGGGAAGAGGCCCCTGCTCTGATGGGGTGGTGTCTCAGGCCGGGCACTGAGCGGGGAGAGGACCCTGTGGGGCTCCGGGCTGCTGGAGAGGGTGGAAGGAGGAGGGAGGGCCTGAGGAGGAGCGTGGCGGGAGGAGGGAGGATCTGGAAAGGTTTCTGGGCTCCAGGAAATGCGTCCCCACCGCAGATCGCAGAAGGCGGCAGCCAGGCCTCCCCGGCAGCTTTGCAGAGCTGGCAGCTGCCCCCGCTGTTCCACAGGTGGAAGCCAGACCCTGGGAGCCAACCTGTGCCAAGCCAGCATCAGCTGCCGGGACACGTGTGTGGCACTTGGACAGCTCCGCCCAGCGAGGCCTGTGTGTCTCTTCCTTGTGGGGAAGACACGTCATGTCAGGGTCTGGGGTCACCGCAGGCCTGTGCCCGGTGTTCCGTCCTTCTGGGCTGGCCCCCATCATGCCCATGTTCAGTGTGTGGCCCCAACAGTCAGCCTTGTTGATGTCGCCTTCCAGGAGGGAGGTCGGCCTCGGCGCCCGTGGCCCAGGCTCTGGGTGTGTGTGCGAAGGTCAGGCCCTCCAGAGGCTCCGGCAGACAGGCCTGGCCCAGAACTCTCCAAAACCAGGTGGGGCAAACGCTTCCAGGTCAAATACCAAAATTCCTGTCCCCAGGACAGGGGCCTTAGGCAGTAAAGGCAGGGGCAGGGGTGGAAAGGAGTGCAAAGACATACGTGAACACCTGTGACCTGCACAGACACGCTCACGCACATGTACACGCACACACACCCGTGACCTGCAGACACGGCCACGCACATGTACACGCACACACAAACACCCGTGACCTGCACAGACACGCCCACGCACATGTACACGTACACACAAACACCCGTGACCTGCACAGACACGCCCACACACATGTACACGCACAAACACCCGTGACCTGCACAGACACACCCACGCACATGAACACGCACACACAAACACCCGTGACCTGCACAGACACGCCCACGCACATGTACACGCACACACAAACACCCGTGACCTGCACAGACACGCACCACACACGTACACACACATGAACACCCATGACCTGCACAGAATGCACCATGCACATGTATAGGCACATGCAAACACCCATGACCTGCCAAGCACATGTACACACCAACACCCGTGACCTGCACAGACACGTGCCATACACATGTACACACACACCTGTGACCTGCACAGACAAATGCCACACACATGTACACACAAACACCTGTGACCTGCAGAGACCCACCACACACATGTACACATGTACGCATACCTGTGACCTGCACAGACACACACCACACCCATGTACATGCACACACATGTCAGGGAGCACAGCTGGGGCCAGGCAAGCATTCTGGGCATTTGGGGGACTTGCGGTTTATGTGTATTTGTTTTTTTCATGTCTTCTTTACAGTGAGTCTATTACTTGTAATAATTTAAAGAAAGTTTCAAAATGAAATTGCCCAAAATAAGGACAGTGGCGGAGCAGGTGGGAGGGTGGCCTCCTGCGCAGGGACGACTGCTCCGGATAGAGCCTCCTGGAGCTGAGGGAAAACGAAGCCACAGGGAGCTGCTCTGGGCTTTGGGGGATCAGCAGCTGTTTTCTGGTCCCATGGGGCACAGACATAGTCAGAGTGGCCACACGAACAAGGCACGGATGTGGTCAGTGGGGCCTTGGGGGTGGAGCATGGACTTGGTCAGTGGAAGTGGGCCTTGGGGGTGAGGAGTGGGTGTGGTCAGTGGACGTGGGCCTTGGGGGTGAGGCGTGGACGTGGTCAGTGGATATGGGCCATGAGGGTGAGCTGTGGGTGTGGTCATGTGCCACACGCGTGAAGTGTGGACATGGTCAGGGGGGCCTTGGGGGTGAGCTGTGGGTGTGGTCAGTGGAGCCGCATGGTGAGGCGTGGACATGGTCAGTGCTCAGGGACCTTGGCATGAGCTCCTGGAGCTAGGCGGCTTCAGTGGGACCCCACTTATTTTCACAGCTGGAGCCTGGACACTGAAAGGCGTGCTCCCTGCCCAAGACTTTGAGTGGCTGGATGGGCAGAGCCTGGTCTCCAGAGGGTACACGCTGCCCTCCTGCTGGCCCCTCGCTCTCTCTGCCCACTGCTGACCTTTCTTTTCTTACGTCTCCTCCACTGGGAGGCTCTAAGCAGTGGGGACCTGCTTCTGCTCAGCCCGTCTGCTACCACTCATGGGTCCTGTGGCTGCCCATCAGTCTCTCGCCCACCCCCATCTGCCAGGCCAGCTCCTCGGTCAGAGCCATCATCCTGGCTCTGCACAGCCCCACCAGCGCCCGATGCCCTCTGCCTCCAGGTCGGCATCTTCATGAGCCACGTCCTTGTCTCCAGCTCTGCTCTACAACCTGCAGTGGCTCCCTGTGGCCCAGAGCCACTGTTCTCATGGGGCCACAGGGCCCTCTCACAGATGTGGAAGTCATTCGGCTCACAGTGGGAGCTCCAAAACAAGGGAGCTCACGGAGATGGAGAGGAGAATGATGGTGGCCAGAGGCCGGGAAGGGGAGTGGGGGTGGGGGTGCTTGGCTGCACAGACCGCAGTGGAACCTGTGGAATATGTGGGTCCCACGCAGCAGCGTCTCTGCCTACGGCTCTTCTAGTGTGAGTCAGCCTCTGCCGTATCTGGTCCTGCCAGAACCCGTGAGCTGATACGCCAGTGACAACGTCCGAGGGTCAGGAGACTCCTGTTTATCCATACCTCCGGCAGCCCCTGCGTGCCTACCACGGGCCAGGTAACCCACAAAAATCAGAATGGCCTTGCCACGTGGTGCCACTCCTTCCAAGCTAGCTCCCTGCCCCAGCCTCCCACAGCTGACTGAGAACCCTCTGGAGGCTCCCGAGCTCCCTCAGTCTAGATTCTAGACCGCTTGACCCAGCACCTCCTGGTTTGAACCCTTCACCCGCACAGCTGACCACCCATTGCACGTTCGGGCCCCAGCTCCTGCAGAGCACATGCCGCCCTCAGCAAGCCTCACTGCAGCGAGCTGCGACTGCGCCACTGCACCCCAGGCCTTGCAGCCGCCACACCTTTGTCCACGCTGCCTTGTCTCTGAGCACACTGCTCCTCCCGTCACCCCAGGTCCAAATCCTGGTTCTCCTTCAAGAGCCAACTCAAATGTGGCTTTTCCCACAAAGCGTTCCTGAGCCCACCTGGCTGAACTGAGATCATCCTGAACTCTTCCCACTTTGCCATACAGACGTTTTATGATAGCGATGATGACTATTTATTGAGAGCAGCCTGGCTAACATGGTGAAACCCCATTTCTACTAAAAATACAAAAATTAGCTGGGTGTGGTGGCAGACACCTGTAATCCCAGCTACCCGGGAGGCCGAGGCAGGAGAATCGCTTGAACCTGGAAGGTGAAGTTTGCAGTGAGCTGAGATCGCGCCACTGCACTCCACCCAGAGTGACAGAGCGAGACTCCGTCTCAAGCATAAATAAATAAATATTTACTGAACGTTTTCTCCAGTCCGGGCACTGTCCTGGGAATGTTAGCTGAAACACCTTATTTAATTCTTTTTGAGATAGGGTCTCACTCTGTCACCCAGGCTGGAGTGCAGTGGTGCAAACACAGCTCACCGCAGCCTCCACCCCCACCAGGCTCAAGTGATCCTCCCACCTCAGCCTCCTGAGTCGCTGGGACTACAGGCTCACACCATCTTGCCTGGCTAATTTTTTTGTGCTTTTTGTAGAGATGGGATCTCATGATGTTGGCCAGGCTGGTCTCAAACTCCTGGGCTCAAGTGATCTGCCCACCTTAGCCTCTGAAGTGCTGGGATCACAGGCATGCACCATCACGCCCAGCCGGTATTTCATTTTTGTAACATCCATTGGCTCTGGCCCTCTCATCTTCAGGAGAGGAACCGAGGCTCAGAGAGATTGGTTTCCTGGTATCACACAGCTACTAACCGGCTGAGACCTTGTATTCGTTCTCTATTGCTGTCTTCAAATCACCCCGAAACTTAGTGGCTTAGAACAATGAAGATTTGTTATCTTACGGCTTCTCTAAGTCTGGATTCCAGAGCGGCTATGCTGGTGGCTGTGGCTCAGGGTCCCCCACAGTGCTGTGGGCTGCAGCCTCACTTGAGTGACCTCCCTGAGTGTGTGATACAAGTGGCAGCAAGGAGGAAGCTGAGCTGCCCACCCCAGTCACACACAGCCATCCCCTCGGCCTCCTGTTGCTGACACAGGGCCACCCCATTCACTGTGGGACACACCAGGAGGCAGGGTCCTCCGGGGTCATCCTGCAGGCCAGCAGCCGCAGGCACGGTCAGCCTAGACTTGCCTGGCCCCATCGCGGGGCCTTGGTCCTCCTCCTCAAGTGGCCACCGATGAGCAAATCCCACCTAGGTGCTTCCAGTGGGATCCCGTCCTACTGTCACCGCCACTGAGGGTTAGCCCCACGCCAGAGCCTGCAGGGGAAGGACCATGAGAAGCACCTTTGTGAGCAAACATAGTCAGCCAGATCTGTGCTTTGCTTTAATCAACTGAAAAGGCGTGACCCAGATGCCACCAGCAGTTCACGCTCATTAAGCCGGAGGTGTGAATGGGACCCAGGAGAGGGGTCGTGATTCCCCCCTGGCCTCTGCCACTTTCCAGGGGTATCCAGCTGGGAGGATTCCTCGGGGAAAGGCTGGGGAGGATGGGCACCTCAGGCAGGCTGAGTGATGCCCACATTGTCAGCAGGGAGGCGTGGCCAGCTCCTGGAACCCGCGCCTCTTCAGGGGCTGCAGCGGCTGCAGACACTGTCTGCTCACCAGAGAAACACGCGTTCCCTGAGCATCTGCTCGGAGGCCTCTGCTTGAGGAGCTGGCGCTGGAGATGCTAGAATGAAGACGGGAAAGAGTAGCAGTTACTGTCCACCCACAGCTCAGTGCCTGGCTCCCGACTCCCCCCACACCCCGAGGTGGGAGTGCTTACTACCCACTCATGCTTGCAGGGGAGGGCATCCGGGAGGAGGCGCACAGACAGCGCTGTGCTGGAAGCAGGAGCGGGCTGAGCCTCGGGGCCAGGACACACAGCATCTCACCCATTTGGGGGTGACCCACTCAAGACCCCTCCCCAGGGCACCTCTCCTCTGAGGGTCAGATCCCAAGCTCACAGAACAGGCAAGAGGGGCCTCAGAGCGCCCCCAGAGCAGCGAGTGCTTGCTTTCCCGGGACACAGGCCTCCCTAGCTCAGCGCCCTTTCACGTGGGGTCCAGCTTCCCACCAAGCCAAGGCCAGGAGGCCCCAGCCCCTGGAGCACACAGGCTGCGTGGGCCGTCCACAGGCTGCGTGGGCCATCCACAGGCTGTGGGAAGCCAGGCAGGCGCTCTCTTCGGAGGCAGCTGCACCCCCTCCACGCCGTCCTGCAGACCTTCTTTCCGTAGAGTTGGGGATCCCAGTGACAGAGAATGTCGTGTTCTGATGTGTGAATTTCAGGTTCTCGTTCAACATCAGACCGCCACGCACAGTCCCCACGCTGCCGTTTGGTGTCACCGTTGACGGCTGCAGAAGCTCTCGAGGTTCGGCCTCTCCTAAGGCACTAGGCCTGCAGCAGGGTGCCCGGGCTGTTTGCTGACTCGGGGCTGCCGTAAACATCCTCCAGGATCCGGCCTTTGCAGTTCACTCGTTCTTTAGGAAGCTGTGTGTCTGGTGTTGTGTGGAAAAGTTTGGTTCTCAGCAGAGGGAGGTGTCGTTTGTTCATGGAGTCTCACGGTGACGCAAAGAGGGGGGAGGGGGCGGGGGGACGGATACCAAATTCTGGGTTCAAATCCCAGCTCGGCCACTTTCTAGGTATGCAGGCATGGACATGGGACATGACTTCTCAGTTTCCTTGTTTGTAAAACGGCACAGTGATCCTTTGCGCCGCAGTCCCTCGGCTCACTGCCCTCCATGCCCAGCTCTAGGGCACCGCACAGAGGGGCCCTGGCACCGGCGTCTGAAGACCTGGCTGTCCGCCTGCTGGAAGGTGACTTCCAGGAATCCTCTTGGTTTGTTTAAGAAACAGGGCAAGAATCCAACTGAGAGGAGCCGAGTTCACGTGGTCACCTAAGTGTTTCCTTTCCTCTTCCCCCTTTAAAAACTATTCCATAGTGTGGTTTAACTTGTGTTCTCATCTGTACTATATCCACACAGTTTAAAGAACTACCCTCCCCTTCCTGCTCACCAGAGGTGCACCTTCATTCCGAATCCTGGTGTTTACCCCATGGGGATCCCTGGAGGTCTGCGTGGCCTCCTGCCAGGCCCGCCCAGGCCACACCCCACACCTTCCACCCACGTCCCTCCCATAGTCCACGGTAAACTCAGTTCGATCAGTGGCACATCTGCGTGCTGATGGCTACACTACAGATGCTGATGTTCTAGCACTTTGTAAATGTTACGGGAAACTGAGCCTCCTAGAGAAGCATGATCACGTGGCCCTCGCTGGCAAACTTTCTCCTGTGTTCCCAGCATTTGGTCTCTGCCTTATTTTTTCTTGATTAGTTTTTAAGTATTTGCCATCTATCCCTAACTCTGCTTTCACCTTTCAGGTCTCCTCTCAACATGGTAAACACACGGGACTCTCTGTCCGCTCTCTTCCTGGGCGTGGCCTGCCCCTGCCTGCCAGGCCAGGATTCCCGGAGTGGCAGGAAAGAAGGCTGGGGGGGAAGAGGGCGGGACTCATGGGCCGGGTGGCCACAGCCAGGGCTTCGGCAGGGCCCCCGGTGGGTTCTGAGCAGGATCCGACTCAGCTTTGATGGGGCGGCACCAGCCACTGTGTTGGGCCTCTTAGGAATCCAGGTGAGAACAAGGCCCTCCTGGTCTGGGTGGTCACAGCAGAGCTGGGGGTACTGTCAGCTTCTGTGAGACTTTGCAGAAGTCAGTAGGACTGGAGCTGGGGTGGGAGGAGCAGGGAGCCATCGACTGACCCCAGGATGGAGGGTGAGGTGTGAAGTGGGAGGGGGTGCTGCCGCGGGACAGACCTGAGCTTCTGTGGGGCCACACTGGGGTCTGATGTCTCTGGGGTGTTCCGCTGAGATGCCAGGTGGGGCTCTGGGCCATCCCTGTCCCTGAGTTCTGAACTGTGTCCACGTGGTCGCCTCGGTCGGTGCGGCCACTTTCGTTCCCAGTGCTGGGTGCTCTGTGGCCCCCCGTTCCGCTAACGTCGCAAGTTTACCCACAGCTGCTTCCCTCGGTTCCCTCTGCTCGCCTGCTTGAAGCCACCACGTTTTGCACACTGGACGCCTGCCCCAGCCTGCTGACGTTTTCATCTTTCCTGTTTTTCATCTCTTGGTTTTTCTGTTCTTTTTCTGGGAGACGTCCTTTAGCCCTTCCCTTAGGGTTTTTACCCAGGCTGTTGTATTCTGATCCTCCTAGCACCCCTTTGTGTTACTGGGATGCTCTTTCTCGGGGCATCTGGTCCTGGACTCATGGGAGCTGTCGCGTCCCTTGTTACCCTTGAGGGTGTTAACGGGGTCGTTTGGAGGCTCTTCCCTCTGCACAGCCTGGCTGCCTGCGGCTGTTCTGCTTGTTGTTTTAGACTACAGCTCTCCAGCTAGAGGCTGTCCTCCAGCGTCTGGTCATTCCTGACTGCTCCTGCTGCCCACCTGCTGCTAGGATGCTGGCGGAGCCAAGGCACGATGGGACCCCTGCCTACTGGAGGACTGGTCATTTCTCGGAGACTGCACGCTCCCCTGATGGCCACCTTTACAGAGCCATGGCCAAGGACTGCAGGAGCTGTCACCCTGACCATGTCCTGTCTCCAGGTGTGACCCCCACTGAGTTCTTCAACTTCCCAGGAAACCAGAAGTGGCTGTGGGGACAGAAATTTGCTCACACACGTCCTGGGGCCGGAGGTGGCATAATCCCGATGTTAGACGCCCTCCGCACTCTTCTTCCCGTCCCTTCCCCTCATGAGTCCCCGCACTGGAAACACCATGCAGCCTGCCGAGCCCTGGAAGGAGATGGAACTCTGACCCCAGCTCGAGCCTGTCCCAGTGGCAGAGGCCTGGACTCTCCTTTTCTGTGTAATACCTAGCAGGGTGGCAAGCAGGGCACTAGAAGTTTGGGTTTTCCCCTCATGCTCTTATAAACGTCCCCAGATCCAGCTCCATCCTACCAGGAAAACCAGCCTCAGGCTCCTGAAGTGCCCTTTCCCGAGCTTCCCAAGGACACAGCTGCTGCCTAACAATCATCAGCAGAAAGGAAGATGGGCCTGGAAAATAACACACTAACAACAGAACACGCGCAAGACTCTGCTGATATTTATTTATTTAAAGACAGTCTCCCTCTGTCCCCCAGGCTGGAGTGCAATGGTGCAACCTCGCTCACTGCAACCTCCACCTCCTGGGTTCAAGTGATTTTCCTGCCTCAGCCTCCTGAGTAGCTGGAATCATAGGCACCCACCACCGTGCCAGGCTAATTTTTGTGTTTTTAGGGGAGACAGGGCTTTGCCATGTTGGACAGGCTGGTCTCGAATCCTGACCTCAGTGATGTGCTTGCCTCAGCCTCCCACAGTGTTGGGATTACAGGTGTGAGCCACTGCGCCCCGCAGGTTCTGCAGATAATTTGTACTACTGTTCGCCAGTACATGTCTTTGTGTTATTTGTATTTATTTTAGGGGGAAAAAACCCTACATTTCAGCCAACTGGACTTTGTGTCTGGCTTTAAATGTTTTCCGCCACTGTCCACCCAACAAACAGTCTAGCTTCATATCTGTATCCTGGTTCCCAAGTTCCTTCCAGAAGAGATTCTCAGACGGGGTCCGTTTGTTGTTGTTGTTTTTGAGACGGAGTCTTGCTCTGTCACCCAGGCTGGAGTGCAGTGGCACGATCTCAGCTCACTGCCACCTCTGCCTCCCGGGTTCAAGCGATTCTCCTGCTTCAGCCTCCTGAGTAGCTGGGATTACAGGCGCCCGCCACCGCCTGGCAATTTTTCCTTTTTTTTTTGGTATTTTTAGTAGAGACGGCGTTTCACCACGTTGGTCAGGCTGGTCTCGAACCCCTGACCTCGTGATCCGCCCGCCTGGGCCTCCCACAGTGCTGGATCACAGGCGTGAGCCGCCGCGCCCGAACGCCGTCCTTTAAACCCACGGAGGAGAAACAGGCCTTGGCGCGCCTGGAGTCGCCACTGCGGAGGCCGGGGCGGGAGAATCGCTTGAACCCGGGGGCGGAGGCTGCAGCGAGCCCAGGCGGCGCCATTGCGCCCGGTCGGGCGGCACAGCGAGGCTCCGCCGGAGCCCCCGCCCGGCCCCAAGGCCCAGGCAGCCCCTTCCGGGAGGACAGGGCGAGGCCCAGCAAGCCGCGTTCGGAGCGGCCCCGCGCGCCGTTCTGATCGGGGCAGCCCCTGGGTAGCGCCCGGAGACCAAGACGCCTGCCTCGGCCACGGCTCGCGAGACGCCCGCGGCCCCGACCCAGCCGCGGCGGGACAGGCGGGACCGGAGGGGGAACGCGCGCGCCCGGAACCCGCCACCGCGGCGCCGAGCCGGGGGGGACGCGCTTGGGCAACGGACGCGCCGCGCCGGGGAAGCCGTTGGGCGCCGGAAGCGGTTCCGGTCCGACCCTGGCGCGCGCGCGGCGGCGGAGAGGAAGCGCTCGGGCGAGGCGGACCCCGCGCCCCGGCCGCGCGGCCGTGTCGTAGGTGCGGGCGGCAGGGCCCACGGGGCCGCGGCGGGCCGGCGGGGCGCAGAGCTCTCGGGGGCGGTTCCGGGCCCGTCCCCGGCCGCCGCTGGGCTGGCGCCGTGGCGCAGCCGCTTCCCGGCGATCCGCCTGGAGCCGGGCGTCGGGCTTCCGGGGCCGCCGAGCCGCGGGCGCCCCGTGGGGAGCGGGGGCGGGGGGCGGGGAGAAGCTGTGCGGCCGGCGGGGCCCGTGTTCAGGCGTCCTCGGACGAGTCGTGGCGGGCCGGGTCCAGAGAGATTCACTTCCGCTTCTTGGGCCCGCGGAAGTCGCCCTCGCGGTCCTCCCGCCCCCGCGGTCGCTGCGTGCGCCTGGCCGCGCGTGGGGTGCGGGTTCAGGGCGGGCCCGGCGCCTGAGCGGACGGCGGCCACGCGCGCGGGACGTTGAGAAGGCGCAGCCGCCGCCGCTCCCCGCGGAGAGGGAGGGCTTCGGAAGGGCGAGGCCCGCTGCGGCCGGGAGGTGACGAGGCAGGCTGGGCGCAGCGGCTCGTGCCGGGAGTCCCAGCGCTTTGGGCGGGAGAGGCCGGAGGATCACTTGCGGTCAGGAGTTCAAGACCAGCCTGGGCAGCACAGGGAGAGCCGTGTCTCTCCAAAAAAATGCAAACATTAGCCGGGCGTGGTGGCGTACACCTGCAGTTCCAGCTACTCAGGAGGCCGAGGCGGCAGGAGCGCTTGAGCCCAGGAACCCGAGGCTGCCATGCTCCGTGACAGCACCATTGCTGGGCGGCAGAGCAAGACACTGTCTCAATAAAAAAATGAAATTGAAAAATAAGAGGTGTCATTTGAACTAGGTTTGGAAGAATGATTAGGAATTTGCCGAGAAGGGAACGAGTTTAGAGATGGGAACACAAATTGTGTTTGGGGCGTCGTGTTGCTTTCTCAGCCTGGGAGAGGTTCACATGCTGGACCCAGGAGCACAGGTGTCGCTGGCGGTGGAGCATGGGCACCCCGGAGCCTTATAGCAAAGGAGTGACCTGATCGTAGCGTGACGCATGGCCCCGGCTAGTGCTCCGTCTGCATGTGTTGGGGACATAAGATGAGGCTTCCCTTGCTCTGGCCCCTTTGGCTGTGAACCTTCTCAAGGCAGGCAGAAACAGCGAATGAAACTGTGTGTTTGGGATAGATGTAAGCGCCAGCTTTCCAGATGGCATTTTTAAAACAGTGTTTTTCTTCCTAAAATGTATATGGGTTTCAAGTATGTTTTTCCTTGTTGGTTTTCTTGATTTGAGTGCACTGCTCATGAATGCAATGTGAATGTCTGTTACTTAAAAGTGTGATTTTGAAAACAGCCCCTCAAACCCGGTGTCATGCTGAAACGCACCCCGCCCTGCCGGCCCAGCACAACCTCTTCTGCCCTACAGCCCCGTCAGGGCAGCAGACAGGAGGAAGTGCTGGCGTCCACTTCAAACACAAGGCCTGGAAGGGGCGGGTGGGTCAGGTGTGGGTGTGAACAGGTCAGGTGCCAGTTTACTCATTTTGAAACAGCCCCTTCATTTGAATGCCAGTGTCGTTCTGATCAAGGGATTTTTGTTGTGAGGCTGTGTGGGGAGCACGCCCAGCAGGGCGGCCCTTTGTCTTCTGCCTGGCCTGGCCTGTGCCAGAGCGTTTGTTTATTCTCACGTGACCCTGTGAGGCAGGTCTAGTGACTGTCCCATCTTATTGGTGGGAAGCAAAGGCAAGACCAGTGAGAAAACTGGGGCAAAGGGAGCGGCCATTCAAGTCGAAGTCTGTGGCAACTCAGCTCTGCTGCAACCCGGCGCCCTGCTCTGAGCTCTGCTGCGACCCGGCGCCCTGCTCTGAGCTCTGCTGCGACCCGGCGCCCTGCTCTGAGCTCTGCTGCGACCCGGCGCCCGGCTCTGAGCTCTGCTGCGACCCGGCGCCCGGCTCTGAGCTCTGGACCGGGAGGTGTTCAGGAAGACCATGCATGGCCATCTGCCCTGAGCAGAGTCTGTGTGCTTATTCAAAGCAGGGCTCTGACCTGATAACCTTGAGGATTCAACCTCTGTGCTCAAAAGAATCGTGGTTGAGTGCTCCATGGTCTCAAGCCTGAGGACCTTCAAAGCTGGTTTGATGGGGCTGTTTCCATCTCTCACATGCTTGGTGGGAGAATAAATCAGCACCTCTTTGGAGGGGACTTTGTCAGTGTTTCTCAAAATTAAAGATGACCCAGCAATGTCACTTCTCAGCATCTGTGCCCTAGACACCCTGAGTGAGCGCAGCTGTGGGTGCCAGGACTCCCATGCCCCCAGCAGACGCTGGCTCGGCGGCCCCTTCTCACCCTCCATGGGAAGCCTCCCCCCAATCCCCTCCATCCCTCCTGCCTATGGCCTCTCCTCACAGCACGTGGGCTCTGTGGGAGCTGGGGCCATCTCACACAGGGCCACTCACATCTGTCACCTCCCAGGGGAGGGTGGCTAGAGTGCCCACCACGTGCAGGGCTCTGGACTCTACCCAGGAGAGCAGCAGTTTCTGCTTGGCCTGCACTTTGAGTTTGCCCAGCCAGGCTGCGCACGCCAGCATCACCGGCTCCACCAAGCTCTGGGTTTTGTGGGGAATCCAGTCTTACTCTTCCACGGCCTTGCCCTGCAGGGTGACCCAGGAATTTGTAGAAATGCCAAAAGGGGGCAGTGCCCTGGTAGTGTGTACTGTGTGTGCTCACTGTGTGTACAGCGTGAGCCTGAACTCGCTTTGTGAGAACTCGGTTCTTTGTGGTCTGCAGAAACCTCTTCTGAGCAGCAGCTTTGGTTAGACGAAAGCCATCCTCTACCTTTGCTGTGCTGCTGTCATGTTGAGGGACAGTCACAGACGATGACAGGCACCGTCTGTTTCCACCGTGTTGCTGGCTGCCCGAGTGCTGTGCTCCGGAGCACCCCAGAAAGCCCTGTGCCCTGCAGCACGAGCTCCAGACACGCCCTGTGGCTGTCAGCAGCGGGACTCCAACCCAGAAACACCCAGCCCCGCTCGGTTTCCGTGTGGGGATCTTTCATGTTGCTGTGCCCTGCACCTGTAAAGCAGTGCGGAATTGGTTGGAAGTGAGGAGGAAGTGCGGGCTGCTCTGGTTTACGGCCTTCTGAAGCTGGCACAGCCCACGTGCCAATCTCGTGTCTCGTCTCTGGTCAAGCCTCGTTATTTTCATGTCAATATCTGGGTTTCTCTATGGTAGAGTCCAGAGGGGTGGGCGGACCAGCCGTGGCCCTGACTCTAAGCAGCTGTGGAGGGCAGAGCATGGTGCCCATGTCAGGAGGTGATGTGGCCTGTAGGGCTGACCGTTGGGTAGAATTCAGAGAATCCTCGCTCAGGACGTCCAGGCAACCCCCGGAGCTGTGCTGAGGTTCAGGGCCCTGTGGGGCTGCTTTTCCTCCTGCCTTGGTCAGAGGTAGGGGATCTCTCTGCTGGCCGGGACAGGAGGCTTCACTAAGAGCCAGGCTAGCGGAGAAACCAGACACCCCAATCAAACAAGCAAAACCAAGACCAGTAGTTGAGGGTATCAAGCACGAAAGATACTTTGGTTCTGACCGTTTTTATTGTTGTGGAATTTGTTTTGTTAAACGACAAAGCGTTGTGTATGGTTTCAAACTAAGATCAGAAAACAGAACTTTAGTGCAAACCACAAACAGCAACATGGTAACTTTCCCCTAGCAAGTTAATGAAAGAGATGTGCTGGAGAGAGAGCCCGCTGGGCGTGGGAAACAGATCCCGCAGAGGGGGCATGGCTGTGCAGGAAGCGCCTGTTGCAGAGGAGACGGTCGTGGGGGCACTGCTGCCTTTTGTCGGGAGACGAGGCTTGCTGCTTTCCCTTAGAATGTCTTGAGTTTGGAAAGGAACATGTTTCCCTTCCCATGGAGTGTTGAGTGTTACGCCCGTGGGAAGTGTGAGACGCGGGGCCTGGGACCTCCGCTCAGATGCCCACTGGCAGGTGTTCACGCCGGCCTTCCAGGTTCCAGCGCCGGGCGCGGTGGCCGCCCTAGGAGGATGGGCAGTGTCAGTGCCTCCACCTCGCTGTGCCCCTGCCCCTGCTGAAGCAGCTGTGCCCACTGCTCCTGTGAACTGGGAGCTCCCCTGGGCTCCTCTCTCTGGCTCAGGAGCGAGTGACCTTGAACTTGGCCTCCTTTGTTTTCCTGTGTGTGAATAAGTGGTGGCCTTGTTTACTGAACACAGTGTTGAATGCAAAATTCTGAGATGAAACCTAACCTAATATGTGTGTATTAGATGGAAACATCATTGTCAAAATCATGCTGTTCAGAGTCCCCAGGAACCAAGTGGGCGACTGGACAGTGCTTCAGCCCTGGGCCCAGGATGCCGTCAGACCGAGGGCTCCTCAGTGCCCAGTGGGTGCCTCCCCCAGGCCCAGGACGCTGTCAGACCGAGGGCTCCTGAGTGCCCAGTGGGTGCCTCCCCCAGGCCCAGGACGCCGTCAGACCGAGGGCTCCTGAGTGCCCAGTGGGTGCCTCCCCCAGGCCCAGGACGCCGTCAGACTGAGGGCTCCTGAGTGCCGAGTGGGTGCCTCCCCCAGGCCCAGGACGCCGTCAGACCGAGGGCTCCTGAGTGCCCAGTGGGTGCCTCCCCCAGGCCCAGGACACTGTCAGACTGAGGGCCCCTGAGCACCTAGTAGTAGCAGAGCCAGAGGGTGCTTCCCCAGGAAGGGAGGCAGACCAGCCTCTTCTTACTTCAGAGGCTGAGGCAGGGACCGCGGGGGTCCTGAAGGAGATGTGAATTTAGGGGCTGAAACCCGTGGTGAGCGGCTGTTTGCCTCAGCAGGTGGTGTCAGTGCTGGGAAGGACACTGTCAGCTCTGGCTGTAAAGAGCCTGAGAAAGCCGACTCTTGTGCCCTTGCGAGTAGAGCGAAGCGTCAGTCATAAAGTCCAAGGAGGCAGGAGGCTCATGGAAAGTGCCGCCCTGTGGCCTCGCTCTGGGATGCGGGGACTCTGCCCCTGGCCTGTGTTCGTGTCCTGGGTCCGTGTTCCAGGCGGTGTCCTCTGGTGGCGGGATGCCAGCCCCCACGTGCCACAAGCAGTGAGCCCACAGGCAGAGGTGCTATGGCCTGTTCTCGGTCTCTTTTCTCTGAACAAGGAATTCTAGCACAAAGCGGGCCTGCCACGGCCCCTCCCAGGGCACTCTTGCTCCTTGAGGATTTATTTGTTATTTATTCGTTAAGTTTTTGTGGGGAGAGGGAAGAATTGTAGTTGAACCAAAAATGCATTCTCTAGCCCTGTGGACTGCCTGATTTAAAGCTCGGCTTGGCTAGGTGCAGCGGCTCACCCCTGTAATCCCAACGCTTTGGGAGGCTGAGGTGGGTAGATCACCAGAGGTCAGGAGTTGGAGACCAGTCTGGTCAACGTGGCAGACCCCCCCCCGTCTCTACCAACAATGCAAAAATTAGCCGGATGTGGTAGTGCACACCTGTAATCCCAGCTATTCGAGAGGCTGAGGTGGGAGAATCACGTGAACCCAGGAGGCGGAAGTTGCAGTGAGCCCAGATGACACTATTACACTGTAGCCTATGTGACAGAGCAAGGCCCCGTCTCAGACAGACAGACAGACAGACAGACAGAGCGGGTAAGACTCCATCTCAGGAAAGAGAGAGAGAGAGAAAAGAAGGAAAAAAGCATGGCCCTCACCTGCTCACTGCACCCCAGGACTTTGGGTCAGCCTGGGCAACACAGCTGACCTTGTCTCTACCAAAAAAAAAATGCTGAGTGTGGTGTCCCGCGCCTGTGGTTCCAGCTACTCAGGAGGCTGAGGCTGGCGGACTGCTTGAGCCCAGGAAGTCAAGGCTGCAGGGAGCCATGATTGTGCTATTACACTCCAGCCTGGGTGACACACCAAGACCCCGTATCCTAAAAATAAAAGAAACCAGCCTTGGCCACCTCACCACATTTCTACTTTCACACCTGTGTGGGAAGTGCGTGAGAGAAGCCCCGGGGTCTGGGTCTCCCGGCCACACCTGTCGTGGGGAGGGCCCAGGTGAGCTGTTCACACTTCCTCCTCTCACTCGGGGTTTTCCAGGCTCAGGATTCTAAAAACTGTCATTCAGATGTACCTTCAGGTATGAAACTTTATATGCTTCTCCTTGGTTTTACCTAGTTTATTTCATTGTTTAGAATCTTGCGTGATGTGGGTATCCTTAAACTAATGAAGCTAGATAGAAAGCTGAGATGCTGGGCGTGTACGTTCCAGCGGCGTGGGCCTGGGCGTGGGCATTCCAGCGGCGTGGGCCTGGGCAAGAAGGCTGGACGCCGTCCTGTGCGCTGCCTTGTGACAGCAGGTACAGCAGGCGTACCTGGCTGGGGCCTGGGGAGGTGTTTACATCCTGCCTTGGCCAGGTTTAGATGGCCAGTTGGGCACTCACATGCTGTGCCTTGCCTTTCTCCAGGTCGCCCCCAGAAGGCCATCGGGTCGCCTGTCAGGATAATGCCGCGCCCCGTGGAGCTGACCTTCCGGCGCCTGGCCTGTGCCTTGGCCTCGTGCCGTCTGGCTCCTGCAGGACACAGAGGAAGTGGCCTTCTGCACACAGCCCCCGTGGCCCCCTCAGACGGGACTGCCCCGGTGTTCACCCGCGCCCTGGGCTTTGGGGACAGAACCGCCCTGGTTGACCAGCACGGCCACCACACGTACGCAGAACTTTATTCCCGCAGCCTTCGCCTGTCCTGGGAGATCTGCAGGCTCCGCGGGTGTGTTGGCGGGGGCCTCCGCCAGGAGAGGGTGTCCTTCCTGTGTGCTAACGACGCCTCCTACGTTGTGGCCCAGTGGGCCTCGTGGATGAGCGGCGGCGTGGCGGTCCCCCTCTACAGGAAGCACCCTGCGGCCCAGCTGGAGTACATCATCTGCGACTCCCAGAGCTCGGTGGTCCTTGCCGGCCAGGAGTACCTGGAGCTCCTGAGCCCAGTGGTCCAGAAGCTGGGGGTCCCGCTGCTGCCTCTCACACCAGCTGTCTACAGTGGAGCAGCAGAGGAAGTGGCAGAGGGGCCGGTCCCGGAGCAGGAGTGGAGAGACCAGGGCGCCATGATCATCTACACCAGCGGGACCACAGGGAGGCCCAAGGGCGTGCTGAGCACGCACCGCAACCTCAGGGCTGTGGTGAGTGCCACCCTGTGCCACCGTGGCACCCGTCACAGTGCAGTGCTCTGGGTGGACTCCTGGCCAGAAGCTCTTCTTTTCCTTCGCTTTTCTGTAGAGTTATTCATGGTTGTCACCATCCTGCATATCTGTGTAAGGTGCCCAGACACAGCCCGCAGAGTGTGGCCGCCGGCCTCACTGGCTGCGCAGGATGGCTCTGGGAGTGGCCAAGCGCAAAGGCGCAGGCAGGCGCGACACCTTCCGGTGTAGAGGGATTGAGGGGCTGCTACTGACCCCACCCGGACCATGTGCCATGAGGTCAGAGAGACTCCTCGCTGCCTGTGATGCAGAGGGACTTTTCAGAGGTAGCCATGTGCTCAGATGCGTGGTGAGGACCCCACATACACCCATGTCTCACTCATTTCTGTGTCCTGTGGTGGTCTCAGTCACATCTTCACAGAACTCTAGAGCCAAGTCACTTACCTGTCCCTTGTGTTCTGCTTTCTTCCAAAAGTATCTGGGTGTGTCATAGAGTCTGTCATGCAATTGAAGCAATAAAGTAAAAATGAGAGCTCGGAACCACGACAGGGAGGGTAGGAAGTGGACCCTATGGAGTCGTGGCTTGACACAGGCGCCGTGAGCACACAGGTGACGACAGTTCACGAATCGGCAGAGCTCTGTGTGGGCAGTGCTTTGGCTGAGCCAGTGGTTGGCCTGGGAGTCTAGATTCCAGTCTGAACGGCGCTAGGTCTCTGAGTGTCAGGCCTGCGCAGGGGCGGAACTGGGGATGGCGCTGCTGGGTCATGGCTCCATCTGCCTGGTGTTTACAGAGCCACTGCACCACCTTCTAAATTCCCTAAAGCCCCCAGCTGGGTATGGCACTGTCCTCCCTCCCCAGAGTCAGTGAGTGACCCAGCAGATCTGCTCTGGTTTCTTCGTCATCTTGAGAGGCTTAAGAGGGGAGCAGCAAAGAGCCAGCTGGGGGACCCAGAGCTCCTGGCCCTAAGCCCGGGTCTGTGTGCTGCTGCGGGCCACAGCCTCCCCCTTCCTCAGCTGGGGGACCCAGAGCTCCCAGCCCTGAGCCGGGGTCTGTGTGTGCTGCTGCGGGCCACAGCCTCCCCCTTCCTCAGCTGGGGGACCCAGAGCTCCTGTCCCTGAGCCCGGGTCTG